TTTTTTCTTTGTAATATCATCCTTCAGTACATTTTCTTGTAAACAAACATAGCATATAAACTCAATCATTTTGTCAACATTCAGCTGTCAAAACTTAGATCTAACACACATACAACACAAACATTTTGAATGCAAAATTTACAGAAAATTAGTGGCGGGATATGAGTGTAAATTGGTTTAAAACTGATAAGAGAATACTTTCAAGAACAAGATAGTAAAGATAATTATATTTTCAAATTGAGCTGTAAAAATCAGTTTTTCACTTCTTAGAATTAAGTGGATTATCGATACCAAATTGCACTAATATATTTACCTGGAAAATATTGTATATGGGACATATAAATTTTGAAATTCTTTACCTGAATATCCCGAACATTTCTGAAAAATATGAACGCTTTTTTTTATAGAATTTACCCGCTATCAATAAATGGGCAATCTTTTGTGGCAACCACATAAGAAAAATATACTACCTTGAAAACGATACTTASTAGATTTGCTTATCCACAAAAAAAAAACTTGCACTGAACTTACCACGACAAGTTTGACAATTTACGAGCTATATACTAGCCAGAATTAGTTATCAAAAYACAGAGTGATGAAAGAAAACAGAAAAAAAGCAAGAAATTAAAACAGGAAGCACCTGTCGATTTTAACATGAAAATTGGAAAATTTACAGCAGCTTAATGGTTTCTTTGAGTCAATTTGCTTCGACTTCAAATGGACTTGTTTCGTTTGCATTTCAATGGCTTTTTAGATGTAGTGGGTTTCCTTTCGTCTAGTTAGTTCTAAGATCGCTGCACGCGAATATATAAAAAATGACATTTTCTCGCAAACATAAACATTTTTTGAAAAATAATCTTGCGATAATGGTCTAAGTTTTCATTTTCTTTCCGTAATTTTTAGATATTTCAAAACAACATTCAAAAGTTAGTTTACATGTCTGTGACGGGGTTATCTAAATAACACCAAATCTTGTTACATGTATTGAAATAATATTTAGTAAACACGAAAATTGTTGGCAGTATTTGCAAAAAGTTTAAGTAGTTTTTACTTACCAAAGTTAATTTGAATTCCTGAACAGTATCTGTAGGACCAAAAGAGACTTGAATGAGTTCAATACAATACTCAACAATGTTTTGAAATTTATCTACAAGCGCATTTATAATTCATATCCTTGTTATGTTAATTCAGTGCTAGTGATTTTTCACAGATGGAGGTGACAATATGTTAAGCGATATTCGATTTGTAGAATTAATTGCGTTACCTCCAATCTCATCATCGTCGCTATCAAACACTGATGATCTTGATTTCCTAGGGCTCTTCTCTCTAGTAAGAGGAGCACTTTGAGCGCGATTTTCCTACAAAATAAAACGCAATTAACAGTGTAGCAAACGAAACTTAAGTATTCATAAATGTAATGTTTTGCGCCGGTAATTAAGCTTACCATTCGGTGTGAAGAAAGAGCTCTGCTTTGTTTCACTGGAGGGCGAATCCAAGAATCATTCAAGCTTCGTCCACTAAAACAAGTTGAATTTATTGAGCAAMTGTAGCTCATGTAGTAACAATTAACACATGCACGCATTCCACGGTAGCAGAATAAAGTCAAACTCTACAACACAATGGACTTCTAACAATGAATTTTGACAGCCATATTTCTGTACCTTGAGAAGGAGTTTTTTGTTACCATGACATCCGGGTTTGGGATAGGCCAACTTTGAGCATAAATAGAAGTCAATGGAACCGCGATAAAGTTGTTGACATGAGGTTTGCGTTGAACCTCCATGATAGCACAGTTCGCTTGGATACAGACTGGTTCGACAATACATCGTAATRGGTTATTACAACTCGCTTTGTTTGGACTGCATGCTTCATTGGATTCTATTCAAGTTCATAGAGAAATTTGATTTGACCCCGTCCGATTGTCAGCCGATGATCTTCCGAGCGAYGATGCTTTTCCGAAGAATTATTGATGCAAATTCAAACTATTTCGTTCTAATATTGGTGCGAGTTTAGATTTGTTCTGTTCGTTCAAACATAGCGCACTTCGAGKGAGTAAATTATAAAGCTGAACTGCGTTTGAGCAAGCACCGAATTTCGACGAGAGAAAGAGCTTGTTATCCACGAGTTAATGACAAATGACGGGAAAAAATTGAAGCAAACAAATAAGGGAATATATGACAATTGAAGAAAAAACAAGCAATAATCGGAACCCACTGCATTATGATAATTTCAGGTTTCAGGACAAATTATATGAGGTTTCGTTCTCCAAAGACGCGTAGTTTGTCAAATCTTTGGAACGTCCTTTTAGTAATTGTGACTTCTCAAGGATCCTTTACTAACCAAATCCCTGTAMAAACTTGGATCATTCAGTCGCAAATATTCCTCGACTTTTCCACGATAGCTTTCATCCCAGTTTATTCCTATTATGAAATAAAATGTTTAAAAATTATGTTAAAGTAGTAACTTTAGTAAGTTTGTTTCTCCGTTATACTTTAATTATGCAAAGAACATAGACAAAAAAACTTAATTAAAGCGAAAAAATAAGCTTAGGTGATTTGCGCGGGAGACCTTCTTACGAATCGCGCGTTTGGCGGATTCGAAGCGCAAAAGTTATACCATCCACGAGTTATAGACGGTATGTTTAAAAACAATAACCGGACTCCAGCGCAGATGAACAGCAAAAAAAAAAAACACAAATAAACAGAACAAAACAAATAAAAGACAAAGAAGTAATAGTAAAAACAGAAATTCTCGTTAACTTACCTAATTTTTTGGCCACTGTCTCCAGTTTTGCTTTTGCCTGGGGAACTTCTTCTTCGTCACCAACAACAATTTCAATTTCTCCCACACTGTAGCCAAAACTTGCTATATCTAGATCAATAGTCACATCATCAAGTTGATACTTTGTACGTTTTGTCTTGAAAGATGCAAAAACTTGTAAATCGAATTTCTCAACAAATTCGCTCAACGATTCACAACCTTTGAGATCTTGAGAGGGTACTGTCGGTGCAACAAAATCTTCTAAGACGTTTAAAATGTCCTTTTCATCATCAACTTCGCAGTATGAATCAACTAAGCCAGGTTTTGTTATTCCTTTTTTAAGATATTTCAACTCCCAAGAACTGTTTCGACATCGTAGCCAGCAGTTTTGAATGCTGAGATTGTGGTTGGGAAAATCGTAATAAAAATCGCAAAATTCCTTTTCAGAGACTAGAATCGCACCCTCTTGTATTAATGTATCTTTAAAATTCGGTGTCAACAGGAATTTTTTCTCGATTTCAATTCTTTTTTGTGCCATATTATTGGAAAAAATTATTTCAAAAGTGGCGCTATTTTTTCTGCACCTATTTCCGCCATGTTGATTCGCGAACTGCATCATGGTACCAAGAAGTGAAAAAAATGTTGTCCTCTCTGTCTACCCCCTAARGTATCATATTTTAGGCTTCTCTTTTTAATCATTTTTTATCAGAATAAATAATAAGCAGTTGGCATGAACTATGGAATTATTGATATTATTAGATAATTTTAGTCCTAAATTTTAGAATTTAGCAAATTAAGCTGTCTTGAAAACTAATTTTTGTTGTGTACAAATTGACACTCTACCAGGGGTAGGGTAATGAGCTGAATAACAGTTGTGGTATGCATGTCGGAAGTTAACAAGATCGGAATTCTGTTGGAGTTGTTGTACTATAAACTGCTCTTTTACTAGTTTAAAAGCTTCCACTATGAAGTTGATACCTTATTTTCTTCAAATACGTTGCTAATACTATCAATTTGAAGTGAAAAAGGACAGAAGCAAAGTCGTTTCGTGTGAAGCTCTTCAATCTTCGTTTCGACTGTCACTCCCCTTGGATGGTCTCAGGAACTTTACGTATAAACTTGKCTGTAATTTTGCACAAGTTTAGTTTACAATGAGTACTGGAGTAGTGAGAATAGCTATCGAGAAAGAAGGCCAACTGCCTCAGTTAATAATCCTAGATCAGGTAAATRTGAACATGATTTGAATATTTTGCTTGTTTTGATTTGAGTCACGACATGCTATCTCAAAATCCCTTCAAATGTTAACCGGAATAACTATCATATTTTAGACACAACCACTGGAAAATATCATCAAAGAAATTTGTGTTAAGTAAGTAACATCTCATTGTTCATAAACGGCTTGTTTTGTCGTTTAGATTGAAAAAAATAGCCTGCGAATCGAAAGTCATTATAAAATGAAACAAATATGCATAGCTTATTGTACGCAATTCCTACCCAAAGTCAATAAAATAAAGTATGTTATATATAGGAAACTATTTATGAATTTGAAAACCAGCTGATGTGAGTTTTTATAACTCAGAACTCTTTGAGTGACTCTTTTGTTGATGGAAATGTTTCTTCCTTGTTGTCTTACAGATGGAACATCAGCATTCCTGAGCAATATGCATTCCAGTATGCAGACTATAATTTATACATCACTGAAGAGGTTGGTAAAGTAAAAGTTTWCAGAACAAAGGAATGTTTAAATTGTYTTATTGTGYTTCTGTTTTYGAGTGATCTGAGYAGAAGATTYCAWTTCTCTATGATGARGATGTGGTMTGACTCTTATATTTTTGTCTGTTTTTGTTTTCCTTTTCTAAGAACCGGTTTGAGATTGGTAATGGAAATGTACTAAAGCTCACCTTATCGCCTGTAAGTACAATATCTGCTTAATTTTGTATGCATTAATAACATTGTATAATCTTTGTGATTTAGTTATCTTTATTAGGTTGCTGTAAGTTAACATTCATGTAAAAATACTACAGAAATAGTTTAATTTTCACATCACTTGCTAAAATTATATTGTATCTTATATGCCTTTTCCCAGTTCAAAGCTAGCGACAGCTGCTAAATGTTTCACAACAGTATCTCTCTAGTACAAAGATCTTTCCAAAAACAAGAGAAAACACAAAAAAATGTTGTCATTACAATAGCTCCACAAATTTGCACTCTCTCTGATTTAAGGCTAAGCTTGTTTTTGGTAAAGGTCTTTCCACAATTGAGTCTGTTGTCTGCTAGAACAGCAATCATTCTCAGGAGTAAGGGCATTTTCCTAATATAATGTTTATATATCAAACCCAGGCAAAGCTGGCACAAGATATCTTTGACAAACTCCAATCACCTAATGTAGAGGATAAGAAAAGTATACTTGCTCAGCTTTCAAATATTGCAGAGGTACTGATAGATGTATACTAGAGCGGATTTCGTATGAGTGGGAAACGGACGGTACTGTACTGTGTCCGTAATCGTACTGTAACCAAATTCTAGTGCCCCATTGATTCACCAAAATTCTGCAGGCCAGGTGCGGTAACTGTGCGGTAACCGTGCGGTAACGGTGTCCCACTCATACGAAATCCGCTCTATAATTTGTAAACTAAGGTTGATTATGATGGTGGCAGAGATTAATAACAAGCCCTTAACAGTAGAGAACAGTACTTGAAATTATGAACTGGTTTAACGAGTTCAAATATTACTGGAAGAGAGACAAAGTCAATGGAAAGTAATGATGAAACAAAAACTTAACTGAACTCTACTATAGAATTTATTATATTATGCAGTAGTAGGGAAGAACTTCAACTGACTCTGAGAAATGATGTGTYATAAATCAATTGCCATATATGTCATACATTATCTAATGTTGTCCTTGTTCTGTTTTCTACTTGTGAGAAACAAATATGTATGGAGGGGAAAATCTGGGAGAATTCAAATGTATATAGCATCTCAAAGAAATTATCGGTTAAATGCTGAAAGGTCTTCAATGTGATAATGAACAATCAGATTTTACTGGCAGTTTTTGGATATTTCTAACCTCATTTCTAATTAGCTTAATTTGTTTTTTTAATACTTAAAGTAAAGAATAATTTTTATTAGTAAATGCTGAGTGAAAATATAAAGAATTGCAATTCATGCAAGGCAAGGTTTTCACATGTCATGTAATGATAATAAATGGTTGAAAATAATGCTRAAAAWKTTTTGTTGCAGGATCCAACATTTGCTGGSGAGTTCATTAAGAGAAATGGTTTGGGATTAATAATAAGTTTGCTAGAAGCAAGACCAGAGTAGGTTTTAATACTGAATATGTTATGCACATAGTATGCTCACAATAACATGTCTTACATCTTCATTTACAATTTGTAGTTACACAGTAATTCTAGGGTCTATATTGCAGGGTTCATGCTACTCCTTAAAATCCTTGAAAAGTCCTGGAATTGAAAACTCGTTTTCAAGCGTGCTTGAAAAACCTTGAAATGGGGAAAATTGCTGAAACGAAACTCTTGGAAAACTCCTTGAATCTGATGAAATTGACATGTTGATTGTTAGCTTTTGGATTGAAATGTGGCTATTTTAAAAAATCGCCACTTGAAGCGTCCGTGAACATCAAAAAATATCTTCAAAAATAGTCCTTGAAAATCTCATTTTTGTGCTTGAAAAGTACTTGAAAAGTCCTGGAATTTTGTAGTGAACATGTAACACGAACCCTGATATTGGGTTACCAATTTGGAAGGGAAGGTGGGAATGGTAYCTGTGCCCACATACTTCGCTGTATTTCTCTCATGATTTATTTATTTTTTATTGTGGTGATATGTAGGAGTCCTGAGACTATGGCACATGCRCTAAAAGCATTCCAAGAGCTGATGGAGCATCCTGGGCTGAAATGGGACATCTTGACCCATGGATTTATCAAAAATGTAAACAATTGCTTCCTAAAATATTACAGTGATAATCACAAATTTTAAGATTAGTGTATGTTTGGCAACTACAACTGTGTTCAGACAAAAATGAATGAAACCTTGATTGTTCAGTTGACGACAGGTTTTTGCATTAATTAATTAATTATGGGATTTCGAATTCTTACCCACCACATCCCAGAACACTGTTGGGTGTCGCTGAGATGTGTATGCGGCCTAGCCCCTTAAACATTAAAATTAAAGACCTAGGTAACCTTTAACATGAAAATTCAACACCTCTATGTGAATATTCTAGGGAAACATCATATAYTTTGTCCATCATTCTATCAAGCACATTGTGGTCTTCATAAATATTTCTTTTAAAGTGATTTTTTTAGTGACAATGAAAGAATATCCAGGGTAATAATAGATAGTTACTAGATAGTTTATTGACAATAATCTGCATTCTTTCTTTTGCTGTTGTTGATTTTTATCAACAAGAGCAAACTTAATAATAGTGGTTTTTGTAAATGCTYAGTCAAATGAAAATCATTCTATTATAAATGGTGATATACATAATTTTTGTTCTGTTTTGCCTTCTAGTTGACAGTTTTCGTGAATAAAATGTCGGGCACTGACCCTACTGTACTGAAGAGATGTTTAGCTATTCTAGAATCTACTGTATCAAACAGGTATAATCATCATTATCATAGACTTGTTCATTAATTATTTCCCTTTCTTGGGATTCCTGTGTTTAAACGTTTGGTTTCCAAGCTCTCCAGGTAGCAAGGTGTGTCTTGTTCCTCAGAAAGCATTGGGATTGGAAGCCAAAATTTGAATCACATCACAGGAATCCCAATAAATAGAAATAATTAACAAGCAAGACTTGGATCAAGTCTATCATCATCATCACCATTATCATCATTATCAACAGTACGCATGCAGAAATGTTCAAATGTGCTGAACTGGGTACTCTGCCTTGCTTCTCTTGCTTCAGAATTCACTGTCGTGGCAATGAATATCATGACAATAGTAAAATAGTCTTTAGTTACTTTGTACATTTATTCAGTGTCCAAGAAAAAGCTTAATATTTGTAATTTTTTTTTCTGTTTAGTTACAATCTTTATCCAATTGCTGAAAAAGAAATAAAG